GAGGGAAGGATGACGACGATGATGATGGTGGCATTGCCTCAGTCCATGAAGGAGTTGCTTGAGATTGGTGCCCAGAAATTTGGGTTCACTCCCACCGCGGTTTTCTGCGGAGGAGCTCTCGTTGACGATTTTGCCCTCATCAGGGACGGTGATGTCCTCGTTCTTTCTTCTTCTGATCATATTGCTACTGACAAATGAAAATAGTTTTCTCTCTTTTCGTTTTCCTTTTTGTTTTAAAAATGTTTTTTTTCCATCCCCTCATTTTCCCCCCGTTTGCATCTGGTAAATCCTAAAATTCATACTCCCTTTTATCACAGTGACACGGTATGTATGTACGTGTGTGTGTATGTATGCATCATGCAAGTGTATTTACACATACCTACAGGCCCCGGCATGTCTAGAAATACTTTGCAATACTATACTGATAATTGAGTGAGTTGTATTTCTTTCAAAATGAAGCTCATCACCTATTCATAGAAGAGTATGTTGGCACTCGCCAAACGGTGTCACTATGTTTTTGGCCTTGATTTATTTGAAAATTGGCAAGATTTCAAAAAAAGAAAAAAAGAAAAAGAAAATATTACTCGTAATATTAAATGATTGATGAAATATGAAAAAGAAAGTATAATTGACCTAATCAAGAAAAATGCAAGGTTGCAAACCTAAATTTGGGATGAAGTAGTAAGAAGAAAATGAATACAAGTAGATTGGACACCGTGTCACACACACTTCATCTGGTGTACTTTTTGATGGATTGAAGCCATGTTTGTATCCTTTTTTAAAAAAGAATTGGCATGTCTTGTGTCCGTGTTGTGCCAATGTGGACGTGTCAGCATTGGTACAACATGATCAAATATCATTAATTTTGAGTCAAATAGTATTTGGGTAGACAACGACATAGTTTAGAGAGTTTTATCATTCTCATGGCTTATAGGACATGTTTTTTTCTTTATTTTAAACTCAAGTCTAGAGTCTGAATAATAGAACTATATTTAGGATTTTGAATGCAATAATAATTTGATACAAAAATTTGAGAATAAAAATATTGACAACTACTCTGTATAAGGCTATCCGTAATGCCTCATAAAGAACTTGCGTGATCCTACCTGGCTTTGTCCACCGTGACGTTGAAGGAACACCTACTGATGGTTAATAAAAACATTGACAACTACTTTGTATAAGGCTATTATTTATAAAAATAAAAATAAAAGTGTAACCATTACACTAATTGTGAGACATTACAGGTATGAAGTGAGTCAGATGGTCAGTACAGTCAGTACTGATGTGACGGTAAGTGGCTGTTGATTTGGAGTGAGCGATGGTATGGTGATGCATTACAGATAGTCTAATATAAATTTTAAAAAAAACATTGATGGCAAACCATTCCATTACAAAACTTTTGGTTCTAAATATGTTGAACTTTGGTCCGGGTAGATGAATAGAAGATAAGGCGGTGAGATATGGGAATGAAGAGGGGATTATATTTGCTTAGTTTTTAGGGTGTATTGAACCAGTAGTCTGTAAGATTTTTTTGGATTTTTAAAATCTGAGTGTATTCAATCTGGATTTTCAAAAGTCTTTAAAAATCTTGAGGTATTCAATAGTGATTTTTCAAAGTATGGCAAGGCCAAAATGCCTTTGCTTGGTGAGGCATGGGTGTGACACTCCACCCTTCTTTTTTTAAAAATTTTTTTATGAAAAAAATGTATAAGAAAGTAGAATAATTTTTTGATAAAATAAATAATAAAAATATTTTTTTATGTTAAAAAAACATAAAAAAATGTAAAAGGTGATAAAATGTTAAAATGACACGCTGACTGGACTATTTTTGATAGGTTAAAATGTTCCACGTTACCGTGTGACATTCCATTTTTGCCTTGCCATTCTTAATGCTCTTAAAGCTTAATGACACACCACTCTTAACTACTCCGTAACATTTAAGTGGAAATATTAGCTAATTACTACTATTTGATAAAGAAAACACAGAAAAGATAAAGACTTTAAGGGAGAATCACAAAATGCTAGGGAATTTTATAGACAAACTTCCTCAATTTAAGGAAAGTTGTCCAAAGATGTTTATCCAAGTCAAAAGTGATCAAAATCGTGTATTCTTTCTTCCTTTTAGGTATAATTTTTGTTAGGTATACATTTTGTGACTTATACAGTGGGAAAGATATATGGGTACTAACTTTACATTATGATTAAAATGAATACGAAAAATAAAAGGTTAGGAAAACACTGATATACAAAAGTCAAATTCAAATATTTTGTGATGTTTTTTTTACTATTATTTTGTGTATGGATTTTGGCTAACCATTTATGGGATATAAAGTCAATATTTGTGTTAAAAGGGGTGGGAAATTCGGTCATCATAGGTGAAAAACAAAGGTATCACAGGGAATTTGCTTTTGTGACAAACACAATGAAATTAAGGGTTTTCACCTATCATTTCCTTATTATTTTGATCAAGACTTCTAAGGAGTTAAAGAACATTATTCTAAGGTGAACATAAGGAGAGAATTTTGTGGATAAATGTGGAGAAATGGACACAAATTTCGTGGATGTGTTTCTTTCTTCCTAATTTGGGGCAAAGCATTTGAAATCTACGCAGACTTTTATTTTACTTAAATACGGAGTAATAAAAAAAGGTGTATTAGATGTTTTAGGTTAGGTTGGACATGGATGGGTTGGGCTAGGGGTCGTTTGAATCAAACATATGGTCGTTTGGTCTTTTCGATTTTGCGAGTAGGTGAATTCAATTTAAAAATGTCATAGCACTTAAACATATGTCACTTGACTCTCTTCATGGTTATAGGGCATGTTTTTTTTCTTTATTTTTAACTCAAGTCTAGAGTCTGAATAATAGAATTATATTTAGGATTTTGAATGCAATAATAATTTGATACAAAGATTTGAGAATAAAAACATTGACAACTACTCCATATAATATAAATTAAAAAAAATACATTGATGGGAAACCATTCCATTACAAAACTTTTGGTTCTAAAAATGTTGAACTTTGGCCTGGGTAGATGAATAGAGGATAAGGCGGCGAGATATGGGAATGAAGAGGGGATTATATTTGCTTAGTTTTTACCAAGTATTATTGAGGACTTTAAAGCTTAATGACACGCCACTCTTAGATAACATTTAAGTGGAAATATTAGCTAATTACTACTATTTGATAAAGAAAACACAAAGAAAAGATAAAGACTTCAATGGAGAATCACAAAATGCTAGGGAATTTTAAAGACAAACTTTCTAAATTTAAGGAAAGTTGTCCAAAGATGTTTATCCAAGTCAAAAGTGATCAAAATCATGTATTCTTTCTCCCTTTTAGGTATAATTTTGTTAGGTATACATTTTGTGACTTGTGGGAAAGATATATGGGTGCTGACTTTATATTGTGGTTAAAATGAATATAAAAATAAACGGTGAGGAAAACACTGGTACACAAAAGTCAAATTAAAATATTTTGTGATGCTTTTTCTACTATTATTTTGTGTATGGATTTTGGCTAATGATTTATGGGATATAAAGTCAATATTTGTGTTAAAAGAGGTGGGAAATTCGGTTATCATAGGTGAAAAACAAAGGTATCACACAAAATTTGCTTTTGTGACAAACACAAAGAATTAAGGGTTTTCACCTATCATTTCCTTATTAATTATTTTGGTCAAGACTTGCAAGGGGTTAAAGGACATTATTCTAAGGTGAATATAAGGGGAGAATTTTGTGGATAAATGTGGAGAAATGGTCACAAATTTTGTGGATGTGTTTCTTTCTTCCTAATTTGGGGCAAAGGCATATGAAATTTAAGCAAAGACTTTTATTTTACTTAAATACGGAGTAATAAAAAAAGGATGTATTTTACTCCCTCCGTCCCGTTTTAAATCGTCCGTTTTGACTTTGGGGCATATTTAAGAAAGAGAAAAAATAGAGTTGACTTTCCAAAATTACCATTATTTTTTAGGAGGAGTGACGATGAATGAGAAGATAAGGTGGAGAAGAGTGACTAATTTTAGGAGTAGTTTAGGTATTTTGCTCTTAAAAGTTTACGATAACAAGTAACAGACAACTTATTTTGGGACGAAGAACAAAAGCAAACAGACAATTTAAAATTGGACAGAGGAAGTAGATATTTTAGGTTAGGTTGGACTTGGGTGGATTGGGCCAAGGGTCATTTGAATCAAACGGATGGGCGTTTGGTCTTTTGGATTTTGCGGGTAAGTGAATTCAATTTAAAAATGTCATAGCACTTAAACTTATGTCTTGACTCTATTCATGGTGTGTATGGGAGAATACAACTTAAAAATTTTCTAATTCATAAGAAAGCTCAATTTGAAATTTACATACTTCCCTTGTCATTTGAAATTCAAGAATTCAAATTCAGAATTGAAAAACATGAATTAAAATTATATGCTAGTTCTCAAATACTACCGTAATAATTTCATGTGACAAACTTTATATTGCTTCTTAGAATTCACACACTATTATACTCCCTCCGTCCCTGAAAGAATTCCACATTTACTTTTTCAACAATTGCAAAAAATATTATTTATTTGTACGTTTTCATTGATTATTTGATAAGATAAAATATTCTTGACATCTCTTATTTCAAAGAACTTTCCATGTAGTTTCTAAATATGTACATTTTTTTATATCTACATACTAATATTTAAATAAAATGAATTGAAAAAACTTGATATTTTGCCTCGGTTTTAGAAATGTGGGAAACAAATAGGGAGGGAGTGAGTATATATCAACCACAGCTTACAATTTACGGAGTATTATTTTCTTATGAAACGTGTCAAGTCAAATTTTAAAGAATAAAGGGTACTTGTAGTTGAGTAAGAGACAAAAGGGAGTAATTCACTTCTTGCATCCCATAAAGTTCGACACAATGATTATGGTCGTAGAAAACATATCTTTGTGGGCATTTTTAGCAACATCCAACTACACACTAGACCTTTAAACTTGTCATGCAACCCCCACCAGGCCACCATCCTATATACTGTATATCCTCCCAGGCCAACAGTACCCATCTGATGCTGTGGACAAATAATGTCCCAACGAAATGAACAAAATAATGCCTCAACAACATGGTGGGAAATGAGCACTTTCACAGTACGTGGTGCTCTCAAGTCTGAATATTCTAAAGTAGCAATAATGTAAGACCATTTTTGCTATGCTACTACCTTTTTCGTTTTTACTGCATTGAAGAAAGTAATTGTAGGAATTACCCTTGGAAGGGTTAAAGAATGATTAATATCCATATAATATGGTGGTCGTATGATTATCTTCTCCAGGATTCCCCCTTCTATATATGCTTAGACCCCACAATTAAGTATACTACGAAGAGTTGGGGTTATAATGTGTGTGTAAGAACTCATCTCTTCACTTTTTGTTTTTCTTCTTCTTTTCATATAGATATATGTATGTCCCGTTTTCGGTAATGTGGACGATACAAACACCTTTGTGGTCGTGGGGGGTGGTCGCGATTCACTGGTCTTACGTTCAAGACTCATCATCTGGGTGAACCTGCAATTCAGCATGGTTTTATTATATGTAGCTAAGATTCCCCTTCGTCACAAAATCATGTTCTCACATTTCACTTTTTTTTTTCTCAAAAGTGATTTTCCCACTATTTCTAAAGAAAGAATTACTCCGTATGTGATTTATATTATTTCTCTTTCGTCTCCGTAAGCTTCGGCCACATAACTTCACGTTTGTTAAATTCAATGTCATTTTGATATGAAAAGGTGAATTTGGTGCAGAGGGATTAATAATTTAAAAAAAAAATCAAAAAATAAAGAAGAATTAAAGAGGTGGTAGATTTTTAAAATTGAAGTACCTGAAACCTTTCATTGATGCTCATAGCCCTATGCTTGACTTCGCCTCTGTTAGTTGTCATCTCATCCAATATCTCACCAGATGAGTAATCATCTTCTTCCTCTCCCACGAGGTTGCACGGTTCTCCATCCTGAAAAAGCATTGTTTGCATTTGAGGATATTGGTACGTACAATTTCAATCTCTTAGAGGCTTTAACACGGTAAAACGTACAAATAAATAAAAAAAAGTTCAGTTCAAATCATATGACATTTCTGTCGGAGTTAACCAAGGTATTTTTTTTTTTGACATCATAAGAATATTTTCAAACGAAAAGCAATATACAAACAAAAAACGTTGACATGAAAAAGACAATATGACATGGAATGCACTGTGTCAAGAGTGGATAGTACATCGAATATTGAGTTGGCAGATCCATAATCATTAAAGAAGGGAGAAGCACGTGTGGTATAGCCAGAGCCACTCATCTATCCCCTATTTCCCATTAAACCAAACCAGCTCTTTTCCCACTAGGTAAAGTCAGCAATATAGATCAAGTGATGCCATTTGTTCCCTTAAGCCATTTTAACATTTTGTAGAGTAACATATTGAAATTTGGCTATTAGATTTGGACCATTTTCGAGATATGATCATGATATTTGTAACTTACTATTTAATACGGAGTAATTTTTTAACTGCCTAAACACAATCTTTGGCCACTTGATTTTCAATCATTTTTTCAATACGACCATCATGGTTTTCGATGTGCTCAATTTGGTCATTTTACTCCCATTTTCTTTCCATGAAACATTGTATGACAGAGTAGAAGAACAAAAAAGGCTTAAGTTTAGGCTTAGTACACTCCAATGAGCTTGACAAACAAATAAACGTGTACCTTGAAAGACGTATTCCTTGAACGAAATGAATGACCAGCAATTTCTTCATATCCAGCTGCATCTAATTCCTGAAGGTACTGTGGTGGGAACCACCTTGGTAGAACATGCTCTCTTATACTTATCATAATGAAGAAAGGCAATGGGAATAGTATCCCAGCAATCGGTATCCATGTTATCCCGAAGCAAATCAACAGATATATAAATTGGAAACATGTGAAGGCAGCAATGTATTTGAACGGTACCAGCTCCACGAATGAGGCATGGAGATTCTGCAACACTCTGCATCCAGAATGGGTTATTAAGCCGTTTGGGCAACAATTTCTATACGCAAGTATGCGACATGAGTACTATATATATGACCACAAAAAAGTTGGTTCAGCTGAGTTCATGAAGTAGACCCCAATAACATTCACAATATTTCGACTTTCTTATCTTGTCCGACTTCTCTTTCCTTATCTGGTAAAAGAGCTGTTACTTAACTACCTTCATTTAATATATCCACCTACCACCATTAATTACTTCCAACCGCATATCACAAGGACAAACTTGGAAATCAAAAATCATGTCCAGTGGAACCACAAACCTTAATAAGGGATGCAGTAATCAGATAAAAAAAGTGTGATATGAGACTAAGATGTTTATAGTGCCCTTTGAAATCCTAACGGAAGGATTTGATTAAAAAAATCCGTCCTTTGAATGATTTCTGATATATTGTTCTCATGTTTTCATATTATCTTCAAAAACTTATTAGGAACTAGTTTACACTAGACTAGGTCGGGTCAAACTAAAATCTCATCGCTCGACTTCGCTACACGGATAAACAAAAAATATTAAAGAAAAAACATAAATGTGGTGCTTGTTAAGTTTGTAGTACTTCATGACTTACTTGAATCGCCGTCCAGGAGGAATAAAGAGTAGTACCAATCTTTCCCAGAATTGATTACCGGGGAGGCTATCAGTTGCCATGTAGGCAAAGTACCCCCAAAGGACTGAGGTTGGTATCCTCTTTATCACAGGCATGGCAAATACCGCACACCCTACAAGTAGGGACTGCAGTAAGTTGCTAACTCTTTGTTCATTAACTCTCACAGGCAAATGTGCATCGATGTGTTCAGCAGGGTCAAAGTTCTTATTCTGAGCTTCTCCATCATCCTCATTCATCACAGCATCCTTCAAACTTTTCAGTTCTTTGTCCACTGTAAGCTACAGAGAATGACATAAGAATCTATGAAAACATATACTCTCAACATCCCAAAATAGTTGTCGTCTCTGAAATGCACTCTTATTAAGGAGTCTTGCAAAAAAGACTCTTCTCACCTTCTTCAAGTAATTCATTAAATGCATTTTAATTCTCTTTAAGGTATAAAAGAATTTAATGGAGTGGTTAAGATGGCCAAAAGATAAGTGAATTATAAAGCACAACAATTTTGATACTTTTTTTTTGTGGCTAAAATGATGGGAGAGAGGGATTACAGGTTATGCTTAAAGATATGATAGCATATCTTGACACCCATAACTTACAGTTGTAGATGCATCCATCTCAATGAAAACATCATGCATTCTCCCATAAATCTCTGATTTGCTTGCTTGCTTTTCCATGCCTTCTTGTGCACTCTTCACCATTTTGTTTCGAAGTAGCTATGAATCAAGTACGAAAGAGATTCAATGTTTACCTATCATTACCACATGAACAAGTGGCGGAATAGAAAAAATGCTAAAACTCATTTCCTACCAGCTTTTTAAGGGTAGCAAGACTCCTTGTATGCATTGGTGATTGAGGAAGAACTCCATTTGAAGGTGGAAGTCCAAGTAAGCCACAAAACAAAGTCTACAAAAAGTTAAACATTTCCCAAGTAAGAACGAGTGCATCACATATCCGCTTCAAATTACAAACTGTGAGACACATTATACATTTATATCATACCATAATTCCAAGCAAAAAGATATCATAGTGGTATGAGGATGGTTTTTTAAGATTGAACTCCTTCTGTTGGGCCATTTGTGAAGCTACACTATGATCAAAAAAGTATAGTCCTGCAATCATAATAGCCGGAATAAAGGCAGCAAAGATGTAACCAACTGGGACTCTTGCCATATCCTGAAAATTAAAGTAAAAAACTCAGTTTATAAATGTTTACCTTTTCATATGTAAGCTTCATAGAAAATTGAATACATAGCCTGCTTATCAATTTTAAAATACTTGTGTTTAGCCAACCCTAGAATATCTATTGTGGGGTAACAACCACTCCATAATTGCTTGGAGAATAGGGATGAGGAGTGATTAAAGGCAACCAGGACAGTGAAAATTGAGATAGAATTGAGAATACCTTGACTACTGTCCAATGGTACAGTGATGAAGAATCCCAAGGGAGAGGAGAAAATAGCCTTCGAGGAATACCAGATGCAATTTGTCCGGGTACACCATAAGACACTGCTGTCCACAACACAACCATAAGAGGAACCCCATAGTCTGCTATAAAACTTCGCAACCATCCTGTTTGTAGAGGCCGGTAACATAATATTATAACACGCCACAACACGATATAAGTTGGCCAGACTATCTTATTCAAGAGCTCTGATCACATACCTGTGCCATAAGGCCAAGACCTCGCTTGTCTACTTTTAAGTGCAGTTAAGAGTAGTCCAAATGAGAATATTATTGCCAATAGCCCATTTGTATAGAGCCAATGGAACTTGTACTTCTCCAATGTGGGATCTTCACCTTTAGGAATTCGAAATTCACTAAATAATCCCTGGCATTAAAGAATATACACTACTATGACATCCATTTCACAGGATAGATCTCTTCTTTTAATCACAAAAGTATGGGAGGAGATATAAAACCTTTATTGCCTCTTGGTAAAATAGAACTGTAATCAACATGCCAAAAAGTTCCCCAGCAATCCTTGTAAACTTGTTGATGATTATACAAGCATTAAATATAGCCAGAAGAAACAGCAAGACAGCTGTCCAGATACAAACCCTGTAACACAGTATAGAAAAACTCCACTTGATAAGTAAATGTAGAACACAGGAGATCTTAATCTCCAAGGAAGCAATATACAAAATATTAAGTTACCATCCTGCCCAAGCTACAAAGAGTTCCTTCCCAATGTCTTGCCTACTACTTGCAAAACCATAGAGATAGGTATACATTATGATCGTAGGCTCTGCAACTCCCAAAATCATCAGAGGTTGCCCGCCAAAAATGGAATGAACAATTCCACAAATTGCAGTTGATGCAAGAGTTTCAACCGTGGTTAAGCTTCTCTCTGATATACAACCCAACATGGTACCGTTACAAATTACGGGGTAATACATACTCATAATAAAGGCCACATAAAAAAATATTAAAAACAAAATATGTTTACAGCCATAGGGAAACTAACAGACCTGTCTCCCTGCTCAACTGCTCACCAAAAGCAATGACCGGAAGGGCAGAAGCAAAGAAAATGTAAGCTGTTGGAGCCAGTATCCTAAAATCGATTAAAATCAAGTACTATTAGCAATCCTTACTTACCTATAAGTTTTCTAAGCTACACTATCCTATATCAATTTCAATATATCATAATACCTCATGCCCGAGCTAAACGCGTCCATCCAGTCATCTTTGTAACATTTTCTCCTTCCCCTAAAGTCCTCCACAACTCCTTTGAAAGGAGTTGTTAAGTAGTCCATGGACAGCTCTGCCGAACACGAAATTAACTAAAATTATCATTCCAGACACATACGGAGTACGGATTAAGTTGCTCTTAGAATACAATGATCATTCACTGAATTCTTCTTTGATTATGCATATTAATGATTAAACAGAGTCAATGCTAAATTGAAACCACTTTCCTCAATAATACACACATCATTATTTCAGCTTTTGCATCAATAGTCAAAAGTTAAAGTGCAGAAAGCGAGAACAATCTGCTTCAATCAATGAATCCTATCATAAAATCTGGAAATTTCAGTAAACCTGCTCAATTCGAACTAACAAAAACAAAAAAAACGAAAATCGTCCGCGCATTTACACATTAAGAACAGCGAAATCAACGCATCACATATCATACATTTTGATCTCCAAAATCAAACGCACACAGCATTTCACTATTTTCTCAAGTAAATGCTCCACGCGTTACATATGCACAAACATGTAAACGCACTCTACGCAACGCACACATGCACGAGTGTAGGGCGTACGTACATTACGGCGTCGGCCAGTGCGGCGCGACGGCGGGGAGGAGGAAGAGGAAGGACGCCGCGACGAGAGAAGCGGCGGCCGCGGCGGTGGTGACGGAGGCGCTTATTGTTGTGCGGCGAGAGAAAAGCGGAGAAGGTGGAGAATGCGAGGGTGGATGAATGGCGCCGCGACAACTGGAGAAGAGGGGGGAGTGCGGAGCCTCTCTAACTACTTATATATCAGTTGCCGTGGGACACGCTACTGACTGTAAGACCATTTTGCTATGAGAAAAAATTAAAAAAAGTTTTGGGCCCATGACACGTTTGCCTTTCAGCTTTTTAAGTTTAAACCCTTCGTTTTAGTCTTTGACAAGATGATTCAAATAGTCTACCTTTGAAGAATGTGTCTAATTTTATTAATTTTAAAATTAAATTTTTTTTATAAATTGGTATAAAATATAAAAACAAAAAATACATATTTTAAAAAGCGAAAAAAATTAAAATAAAATGTTTCATTTTTTTCAAAAAATCAATTAAAACATACAAATAAACAAAAATTATGAACACACTACTAAACTAGAATATTAACTAAACGATATTTTCAGAACGGAAGATAACAAGATTATACAAAAAATTTTGTGAGGTAGAAATTTATTTTCATATTTGAATTAAAAATTTGGTGTTCTTTTTTGACATATCACATTTATAAATATATTTTTCAGTTCATCATCACACATTATTTTACTTCTTTTCTAACTATATTTTTTGTTAGCTTTTTCTTTATTTTTTTCACTTTCTTTTCCATCTTTTAAGATTTTTCCGTCCAAAATTTTTGAACTCAGACAGTTAGTCCACTTAAAAAATAATATAATCATGTCGCCCCTTGTTTTGTCGAATTTTTTAATTTGTTTGTAAATACGAAGTGTATAAATTTTATTTTTAAAATTTATACATACAATCACATAAATTTTATTGAAAACAATAATTCTGATCTAGTAAAACAACGACTTCGTAAACTGAGTGGAGAATATTTTAGAACGGATCGAGTAATATATTTATTGAAAACACAATCAATTCTGATCCGCACACAGGCCAACTCAAACTGAACATTGGTACACATGTTGAGGGCAACGAGATTGGGTGTGGCGCTATTATCCGGGACCACTGTGGCTGATTTACTGACAGTTGTCAGCGGCGTGTCTTGATAAAGGTTTCTAGAAAATATTTATGGAGATTGATCACCTGAGTATTTACGAGACGTTGCGGGCTAGGACTACTCACAACGATATTCTTGCTCACCTCTTCCATGGGATCATCACTATCTTATAGAATTTAGAAAGATGTAGGAATCAGGATCACTGAACTGGGTCATAAGGCATTTGAATTGAACTACATTAAAAGATTGAATCAAATCAATCATGTAGTTTAACTCAAGAGCTTATATAACAATTTCTTTTCACTTGATGTTACGATGTGAGATACTCTTTAATACTCCTCTTAAGTGGATAAGAGGATCATTTTGAATCTAACTGATTGATCACTTGCAAATAGACTTTCTCTACCTGGGCATGAACTTCTGATAGAATTTATTTAGAATGAGGTAGGGATCACTGGATTGGGCCATAAGGCACCTGCGTTGAACCATATTAAAAGATTGAATACAATTGATTACTTAGTTCAAATTAAGAGCTTAAATACTGATTTATTTTCTCTTTAAGTTCCAATGTGGGATACTTTTTAACACTATCTTAATGGCTCAAGGATGACAATTTGGGTATATTCAGGGTGAAGTTAACTATGTGACCACTCATATTGCGTACCTCAGTTACCACCATAGATGTCTCTTTGTTAGTAAGGAGTTGGATAAGCTCTCCTACTCCTTGCCGGCATCTTGAAATTTGATGCTACTAGTTTTCCTACTGTATTTTTGTTTTAGGGGCGCGATTTGGTCTTCCCCTTATATCCCTCCTTTTTTATCTATAAAGTTTGTAAGAGTTCACCGTCCTTGTCCCATCGGTTTTGGTGGTTTCTACTAAGAATTTAAAAAGAAATACATCATGTTTGAGAATAAAACATGAATGTCAAAATTTGGTTATAAGAAAAATCATAATCATTTCCGGATTATATCTGTTTTGGCCTTTTGGGTAAAATCAATTATGAGTCTTAATAACTCTGGGTATAATTGATTCCATGTATCATCGATTTTGAGTATCATCCGTTTTAATTATCATCTGTTCCGGATCTAATTAGTTCGAGTCTAATTGATTTCGTATTTAAATCAAACATCGATATATTTAGTTCAGTTTCGGTACGATTCAATTCCAATCATTTAAGGTATTCAGTTATATTCACCCTAGCATTTTCCATTTAGGACCATGCTAGGATGCCACCACATGGGTGTTACTATGGGTGCACCCATGCTTCGCGCAGACAAACAGACAATTATCGTATGTGTTTGTCTGTGCAAAGCATGGGTGCACCCATGGTAGCACCCATGTGGTGACACCCTAGCATTTTCCATTCAGTTATATATAGAATCTTTTCTTTTTAGATTTGTTTTTGTTCATTTTTTGTTTTGGATCATTCATTTTGGGTAAGCGGTTACGTTTATGTTTAGACATATCATCTTGTCCCAAGAACATAAACGCCCCTTAAAATTTTGGGGTCCCAAAAGAAGGCAGGGTTTATTAGGTAACGCTAGAGTCACAAATTTACTAGTCACAAATTACAAAAGCTAGCTATCTGTGTATTTATTTTTTTTATTTTTTAATTATTTAGAATATTTTATCTACTCGATGATATGTACAACTGACAAGTTTGTGTTGATTAAGAAACTTGTGTCGAGTTTATTAGGGTCCGTTTGGTATATGGAAATGAAAGAATTGGAATTGAATTGGAATTGAAATTCAATGGGATTCAATTCTATAGAATTGAATTTACCAATTCCAATTTATTTTCTGCACTATCAATTCCAAATCTAAATAATTTTTGTGCTACCAAACACCAGAATTAGAATTGAAGTTCTCAATTCCAATTTCATAGTTTGAATTTCATGTACCAAAATGGGCCTTAGTCTTCTTCATCATTTTTTGTCAGATATATTCATAAGATTATCACAAACATTCGTATTTGAGTAATTGATTGAAATCAAACAAAATTCAAAAGGTGTTTTTTTTGAAATAAGTGATAAGGTATAATTTCCCGAAAGAATATAATGATTAAATTAAATTCAAGTCTGGAACAAAAAGAGGGTTTCATAAAAACACTTCAGATTTAATTGGATGTGTGAGAAATTAAAAATGGTTGTTTGACTTGCTTTTTTAAAAAGGCAAATAAAAGCAACCTCCTTACGACTTTAAGAACATTCTTTTTATTTAAAATTAGAACTGCGCAGTACTTTATTTTTTATTCATGTAAATTGGTCGTGATTCTTTGACTTATTTGTTGAGTACTACTCTAGCAGTGATCAAAAAATAAAATTTGTTTTGCATATTTTTTTAAATTAATTGTTTTATAATGATCTTTAGATACAAATGTGAAATAAAGACTTTTTCATACTATCGCCGGTTCTAAGAAGTTTTTTTTGTTTTGATTTTTTGGTCAAACAGTAACATTCATTGACTATAAATTGTGAGAAAAATAAATTAAATTATAATATAAATTCAATATAATTAAGCTTATCTTAAGATATAGTTTAATACATTAAATTTTTATATCATTTATTTGTTTAGATTGAGTTTAATTTCTGGTCAAATAGTATTCTTGCTTAACAAGAAAAATTAAATCATGAAAGATTTTTGTGACTTGAGAGGACATATTCTTAGGGACTCATAGTTAGATTTTTTCTACAAAACCCATTATATATAATCATTTTATATATTAAAATTTATAAAATTGTTGAGTACTTCTATAGCAGTGATGAAAAAAGAAAATTAGTTTTGCATATTTTTTAAATTAGTTGTTTTATATTGATCTTAAGATACAAATGTGAAATACTTCCTCCCATCCTAAAAATTTATTTTTTTTGACTTTTTGGTCAAACAGTGACACTCATTGATTATAAATAGTGAGAAAAATAAATTCAAATATAATATAAATTTAATACAA